TTGATTTTGTTTACAATCAGACTTATTTTAAAACGAGTTTTCTCTCTGCTCACCGAAATCGCTGACTATCGGCTCGACGTTGAATATGGATTTTTTAATCGTTGAATGATCTAAGGAATTATTAGATCTAATTGACCAACATCGACCAGGACCAACAGTCTCTTGGTCCTCATCGTTTATATTCGGAAACCAACCAATGATTTTTAAAGGTTCATAAGTGCGAAATTCAGCTGACCATTCTGTTGTTGTCGTTAGTGGTCCTTCGGCTGATGGACAGTCTTGAGTTAACTGAATCGTATATTCTGTTGCCTTCAATAAATCATTTTTAAATGTAAATGCAATATATTCTTGACGATTTCCTTCCCTTTGATTTAAGTACCATTTAAATTCATTTTCTGCTGTGTCTTCGTCTAGTAGTTCTAATTCCTTGTTCTCCATTTTAATTCCATCACCATGCACTACACATATATGTTTGAAAATTTCATTCATATGAATTTTTTGATCGAATAATAGAAAACATCGAGGCTTTAATGTTGAAACTGTTTCATCTGGTAAGAATTGAAGAACTTCTAATGTTTTTGTTGAGAATTCAAAGAAAAAATCATCATCCAGCTTTCCTAGAAATAATGAAAATATCAAAAATCATCAAATTTCACACTTCAACATTACAAAAGTGTTTGAATGCATAGATAGTTATTAAGAACATCATAACACAAGCTCAGAAATTTGAAAATATCTCGATTTTAGTTGTCTATACTATCGGATGCACTGGGCAACGTCTTTAGTTTTACATGGATTTACCTCCAATAGCTGATACGCAACGAATTCTGTCCACTGTTAATGTATACTTGGTTGAATATGGAAAACGATGCTTTGCTTCAAATTGAACTGTTTTCGTATCTATCCATCTCCATTGACCTTGAACTTTTGGTATTAATGATATACCTAGATCTTCTGGATTCGTCTGTTCATCTAATGATGAAATACTTATCATGGGTTGATTAAATGTTAATGTAACAGTTGATAACGCATAATAAATTTCTTTGTCATCAGGAGAATATCTGTCAATAATTAGTTGACCTACCGGTTTTTGAGCAAACTGTTTTAGTTCTTCAATACTAATATCGAAATCTTCTTGACGATCTGATTGAATGGGTGGAAACGGCGTTGTTATCATCTTACTTGTTTTTGGTACTTTTATGGTTGTTTTACGTTTAAAAGACTCTTGATCATTGGTTGTTTCTGCAACTAATGCAGAACTGGCTCGAGAGAATAATTGTTCTAATTGAATTCGAGTTAAAGTCTGCTGTTGTAAATCATTATGTAATGGTGTTTCTCCAACATCAGTCATAGTTTCACTATCCGCATCATTTGCTTCATCAATATCAAAATCAAACAAAGGCGGCTCCGACTGTTCATCATCGAGCCGATGCTTTAAATTCGATCGCATTCTTTTTATGAAATCTCGCTGATATATTCAAAACACCGTATGAATGCAATACAAATACTATAGAGCTAAACGAAGCAGGTAATAAGTTTTCTTGTAGAGCAATTGCTAAGAAAAAATCTCAATACTGTGTTCTTATGAAATGCTATACTTTGGCAAAAATTCATCAGAATGCTTTCGTCACTTTTTCTATGTGTCAATATAAGGTTTAGTCTACGATCATTTTAAACTGGTTCTAACGCTGTGTCAGATTGATTGAATTTTGTTCCATCACTGCTCGTTATTCTGTCATTACCAACCACAAGCAACATTTTCAAAAATAGCTTGTTAACGCGAAAAAAGTTTTTCATCTCGTTGTATCTTACCGTTAAATATCTTTATCGTGTTCCAGTCATTGAAATTTTCATTTTTTTCTACTACTCGTAAGAATGGCAATAATGTTATGAAATGATCTGAAACCTAACATACATCTATGTACGTAAGAAAGAAGTAGAAAAAGAAACATTATGTCGCCACAACAAAAAACCACTCTTGTTGTATGTCTTATAATCACGCAGGAAAAGAGAAAAAGCATCCCATGGTAACGAAACAGGTTTGCTTGAAAAGTAGGCAAGCATAAAACTATACACTAAAAGAAAAAGAAACATAAAACTTCATCAGTATAAACAATTTGAGCAAGTTTTTAATGTATTGATGTACGCAAAAACAAGCGAGCGTTGCATTCCGATCCAAACAAACACATGCGCCCCTCTCATTACAGGAATCTCCATCATAGACCTTAGCGACCAAGAGAAAAAGTTAAAAAAATTATTTTATATTAGTTTATTAAGACCAAAGAACATGCATAAGTTTCAGATTTCAGTTCAGACAAGGGCTTCTCTGACAAGTATAGAGCAGCAATTCCACCATACACTGCTAAAACTACGTAATACATGATCTTTGCTGTGACATATTGCTAAATCAACATGTGACAGATGTGTATAAGCCAGAAATACAAATTGATCAGTTTCTATCGGTAGAAACGAATATTGACATGATGCACGATTAAAAACTTTCGTTATTTCTGCTAATTTTTCAATATTAACTAGACAGAATGAAATTGGATTGTCTTTCGGAATTGAACCATGCAATTTGTGAACATAATTATATAAAAGAGTATAGGGTTTCAAAGTTTGTACTTTTCATCAAATAAATGTTCAACGAGTAATCGATATGTATTAAAATCAAATATAAGATAATTATTGGAAATAATTAGGTCACGCACTTCATTTATATCTCCGTTTAAACCTATTGGACAAAGACAAAGATTTTTCATAACATGATCTTTTCTAGATACCATTTGACATAGACTTGTACCCGATTTTTGTTCAGTCTGTTGCAATAATTGTTCACGAGAACGTAGTGTATCATTTCTCGATAATGCTAAATAACTTCCTCAGTGATTATCGTCGTCATCATCATCATTATTCATATTTGAATATTCTTCAACAAGTTTTTCTTTGTCTTCTTCCAAAGCATGCTTTCGTTGGTTACCAAGAGCTTCTAATCTATCAAATTCGTAATATTGTTCTTCTTTACATAGCTCTGAATCAGTTTTTATGTCATCTACTACTTCTGTATTAAAATGAAAGCGTGATAGAAGATCTTGTCCAATAAATTGCGATTGATGACGATTTGTCATATACATGCGATCACCACTATGATTGAAATCGACCATTGGTTGTCGAGAGGGTGTGGGATATGGCTGGGTGTGGCTGTGGATGCGATTGCAGCGAACATCCACACCCGCATTGACACACATTTAAACACACCCACATCCACATGTACACTCACGCCACAGCACCACACTAACACCCACGCCCACAAAGCTACACCCACATCCTTTTCTTATTTTCTCTTAATTCATGTACTTAGTTTTCTAACTAAATATATTTTTTCTTTACATTCATGTAACTTCATTTTATCTTTGACTGACAAAGTCAACAGTAGTTGATGAAATGTTTCTAAATAAAATTATGATATATTTGGTAGTAATTTCTTTATTATTTATTATTAAATGCACTTACCGAAAAATAAATGACAATCATTCATGAAGTAAAGTCTTTACTTTCAGCAAATACACCAGTTTTTTACTGTAACATTAAGATACTAGAACAGTTCAGTTCTCGACTAATACTCCATAGAGCAGGTATCAATGCTTGATTTTCATCAGTTATTCGATACTCTGTAATATAAACAGTCAATCGATTGTCTTTCACTGTATATAAAATACTTTCACTAGTAACATATCGCATTTATGATATAAGCAAAAATTCTAGGAGAGTTGTTGAAATTTGAGTTATCACTGAAGCCTCCCTGTGGCTCAAATACTATGGGATACAAAAAAAAAGCAAAATAGACTTTGAGGTTCTAGAACATTTTTAATCGTGCAATTAATGTCGTCTGACGAAATTCATAATGTTATACTGTTATGGTTAACCTGTAAGTGATTGTGCCAAGAACATCTTAATCGTTATCCAGATTATCGCTTATGTGGGTGCATCTCACTGTAATAATTTTCTTATAAATTCTTGCTCTTTAATTGCAACAGAACTTCCTAGAAAATCACATTATCCGACTGTGGCGCTTTACCAAAGTTTACCATCAGTCTAAAGATGCAAGTGGAATACTAGCACTATTCATTTTTTGATCATATGCTAGCTGATAGCACTGAGTAGTACAATACTCCTTAGATTGCTATCTGTTGTCACCGGTAGTTAATGAAATAAAAATAAAATAAAGAAAATTGATATATCTTATAATTATTAAGCAGTCCTACAAGTTTAACTACAGTGCGCGTCAAAGATCTGGCTCCACTTTTTTATCTTGAGTCGTGTATAAAAACTGCAAAAGATTAACTTAATCTAATTACATATGGAGATAGCAGAGAGCGAGTATTATATTTATACACCTGTTTGATTCAAAAAAATACTGAATATGAAATATAATAAGAATAATAAACTTTGGTACCAAGAAAAAAATTACATAAAAAACTACAAAATGATATTGTTGTTATAGGGCACTTCCACAGTCAGTCAATCACAAAAAACTCAAAGTATGCAGAAAATTTTTCATTTTACCAGATTTTGTAGAGCTTTCTTTGCTGGTCATTTTGGTAAAAAAAATTTGAATTTCAGTGAGAAATGACGATATTATAATCAAAATATTCAATACTTTGAAATACCGAGTGCTACAAAAATGTTGGCAACATAATCTGTTTTGCAAAATTCTCTGCACAGACAAATAATAGAATCTTAATTTTTATTTTCACATGATACGCTGTGAATAGCTCTACAAAAATCGTAAGAACCATTCCGATTGACTTCTTTTGATAGTTTATTCCATACTCAAAATAAAAAGTAAATGCATGATAATGTCAGTTCCCATAGTATTTAACATAATAAAAATATTTGGAAGACTGTTATATTTTGCACGTATCTCGGCTTAGGAAAATGATAGCATGTTGATTTTTTTTTCAAAAGATGCACCATGAAAAACTCTGGCGGGTCGTAAAGAGAAATTCCTATCTCACAAAGAAAAGTCATTCAAAACTTTTAATTATTACTGTGTAGTTTTTATGTCATTTTTTTCTTAGTACTGAAGTTTGTTTTTCCTATTGTATTTCACATTCAAGGAATTTTCGAATTAAACAGGTGTATAAATATAGTACTCGACCTCTGCTATCCAAACATATAATTGGATTAAATTAATCTTTTGTAGTTTTAATATATAAATCAAAATAAAAAAGTGGAGCCAGACTTTTGACGCGCACTGTACTTTGCTTTTACAAACGATGACTTTTATTCGAAGTATAGGCTGTAACCTCAAAAAGATCACATTTTGATCAGGCATCATCAATCGATCATTCAAAATAACTTAGAAGTTTTTGAGATAGCCTATTTGATGCATTTGTCAATGCTTAAAAACTAATGTAAATTGAATTTCTAGTTTAAACAAAACTCAGCACTGAAATATGCATAAAAGATATAAGAAAATAATGAAAAATATGATTATTTACATGGAGATAGAGTATCTTGTGTGGCTTAAACGAAGGTCTGTTGCTACTTGAGTCTCAAACATTGTATACTCATTGAGCCTGAAAAAAAGAACGAGAAAAAAGTGAAAAAAACTGGTAGGGGCGATCTTGTCTTGAGCCTGGGTACCTATATAATCAAGGTTGAAAAGAAGGCCATATATACAGCTTTGTAGAGCGAGATTTTTTCTATCAAATGAGATATTATTCGAAAAGAGTCTGACAGCTTATTATGGAGAAAATGATCCAATAATGACTAGTCAAATTTAGCATGACAGAAGTTTTTTCTTCCGAAACTCTATTGCAGATCCGTTCAGTGTTGACTTGATAACCTTTTAATGGTAAGCTAGAATAGACTAAAAATTTTGGATTTAGAGGTCTTCGATGGTGCTCTTTCGTTTAGAATCAAAAAAACATAGGGGTGAAAATTTTCGAGACTATGGGTCTATTGGTCGATACTCGATATTCTCATGACCGTCTCTTAATGATGTTGACGAATGTGTCAATTACATAACCGACTCGAAAAATCAAAAAATTGTTTTATTCGTTTCTGGTACTTATGCAAAACAAATTGTACCATTTGTTGTTTGAATCAGTTAAAAGCGTGTTATATCTGCTGCGAGGATAAAGCGGTCAATGAAAAATGGTTAAACGAGTTTCAAAACATAATTTATACTATAAAACATGTATAGTTGACTAATTCTTTTTTTATTGCTTCAGATGAAGAATCTATTTACTGATACACAAGAAATTATTACACGAGTGGCAGGAAATCAACGTATTCGAGAGAGAACAAAATATAAGCATTTTATTATGAATATTTATAGTCCTCCAAAAGACACAAGCGAAAGTGCAAACAGTAATGTCCAACAACAACGAGATAAACATAACACATTGTTTATGTACAACCTTCTATTTGTCGATATTTTATTAAAATTAAGACGACTAGGTATGAAAGATAAACAAAATTAAATTGATGAATGTAGAAAGGAGTGCGATGGAAATGAAAACCTTTTAAAGGATTTTGAACGTGATTACAAAGCAGATCAAGTGATTTGGTAGTATATGAAACAAACATTTCTCTTTAAAATATTAAACGACGCACTTTGTAAGCAAGATTATGAAAATCTTTTTCACTCATGTTCGTTCATTGTTGATCTACAACAACAATTAATCAAAGAGCATCGGAAATTTTTACATACATTTACAGATGATTACATTCTACGTGTTTACAGAGAACAGTCTATTACAATTCTCGAATTAGACTTAATAAAGGACAGTGTCGGTAACTTTTGTACTTTTAATTGTTTTTGTGTCGACGAGCAGAAGTCGATATGTCAGACTAGTGTATGCTGATTCTTCAGAATTAAGAGATGATTTAAAGCGTATACTATTTGAAACTAGCATTGAGACTTGTCTTTCATTTGCAAAAGTTTATTCTGCTATTAATCATCTAAGTTTGTTTGGCGACATTGAAGAAGAAGTATTGTTAACGATGGGATGCACATTTAAAATTGAACAAGTGCACTTTGATGAAAACGAAAAAGTGTGGATTATTGTAATTGCAGTATGCAGCGATGGCAATCACAAATCCAAGAATGTAATGTTGCAAATAAAACGCAGGAAGATGCTGGTATTACATGTATTGAAATGTTCCACTACCCCACTAGGAGAATATGAAAAATCGAAAAAATTCCTTGAAGGATTATTCCTTAAAGAATCAATTTTAAATAATCATGAATTAGCTAACTGTTTTATAAAACTTGGAGTTGTCACATTTGAATTACAACAGTTAGATAAATCATTAGAGTATTACAACACAGCACTTGATTTACAGGAGAAACTTGGCATAAATCAAAATTTTAGTTTTGTGTATCAAGCACTGAGTCAGGTTTATTTGTGGAAAGAAGAGTACAATTTACCATTACAATATTCACGTAAATCCCTCGCAGTTTTACCAGTTGATCATCGTTCAAGGTCGACATCGTTTGAAGTAATTGATGATGTTTATCGAGACAAGAAACACTTGATTCGAGCATTACATTACCGTCAAAAATCAATAGATACGCGAGTATGTCTGTTAGAAGACAATCATTCACAAATAGGCATAGCATATAATAATAAAGAACTTATTTATGAAGAAAAGCAAAAATTATCACGTAGCAATGAAATACTATGATAGAGCACTTTTATCTATCATAAATCATTGCCATCAAATTATCCATGGATTCAGCGAGCAGAAGAGAATATTCGTAGAACAAATGAGAAGATGAGTCATTAATAAAGAACAATCATCATCACCACTACAACGGAGAAACTGTAGTGACACGAAAAAATGATCATCTTCCTAAAAACATTCTCATTTTGCATTACCTAACAACAGAAACCTATAAATCTATTTTTTTACCTTCGAAAACTCCTAGCTTTCGAGTTATCAAAATCATTGATCAAGGATTTGAAAATAAAAAAAGTCACCTATTTCGGTATGCTGACGATAGTAACACTAAATTTTGTTCATTAACTTCAAGTAACGTCTAATTTTGAATGAACAATAACTACGAAACAAACTAAGATATTTAGAGCATATCAAAAGTACTGGCTGTGGTATCTTAATTTCGTATAGAATGCTTGAAGAAATTTTATTTTTAAATATGATACCCACATCCTCAAGAAAATCTTGGTTTTTATCTTCAAATGAGTATTGGAAAAATGTTTTTCGATTCTAGCTTATCTGTAAATGTTTTTTAAGAAAATGGTTTCCTTTTGTATTTAATCGTCATTCCATTAATAGATAGCTATCAGAGGAGTTTTATTCAATATTCTTCTCTAGCAATTTAAATCATCGAGCATATTTTGAGTCTTTTCAAAGAGAAGATTTACTTTCCAATTTCACAGTTGGTTATTACGATGAATAAATATTCAACTGATATTGTTCTTAATTTGACTCTTTCCCTTTTTGTTAATTAACAAAAATATTGTTTCTTTCAATCATATTAAATAAAACTTAACAAGTCGTTTTATTTTATTTTTAATAAACTATCAACGTTCATCATATAAAATAAGTATAAAAAAAACCAATGCTATTATTTAGAGATGAGAACGTAGATTTTTATTTTCTTTTATCATCTCCTTGACAAAATTAATCACAACTTCAGGTTGTTCTACTGGAAATGAATGATTCGAATCTTCTAATAGTGTATCTCGTCCTTTTTTGAACCACTTAGCAAGATCACATGCCGTTGTAGGCACTGGAAGTTTTCCTGATAGTTCAGATTTTCCTGCTCTAACAACATGAATCGGTATATTATGGATAAATTTTGAGTCTTTAATGACTTGAAAAATATTTGCGTCTGAATTCACGCTCATTCCATAAAGATGCCATGCTCGTTCAGCTGTACATTGAAGTTTAAAATTGTCATCTACTGCATAGGTGCAATAATCACGAAGAATATCTTTTGGCCAATTAGAAAGTCGACCAGGTTTTTTCATGTTGGAGATCATATCTTCAACAGAAGACCATTGATTATTACGAGGAGCCATGTGTTCAAATTTTTTCAAGTCTTTCTTTCCTTTTTCATAGACGAACGAAGAATATATACCAGGATCTAATAAAAGTAATGATTGAAAAAGTTGTTTGGATGCTATTGCAGCAGCAAAAACTAATGCATGTCCACCCAAAGAATGGCCAATACCGACAAGATTATTTTTTAATAGATCAAGCATTTCGACAAATTGCAAAACATCTTCACCAAACCATGGAAATGGATACGGAAGAGGATGTTTTTGTGATCGACCATGACCACGAAAATCGAGAGCGATAACATTAAACCCAGATAGTGCTTCATTAATAATGCGATCATAACATCGACCATGGAGTGTACCGCCATGACAAATAAGTATTGTTGGTTGATGACCTTTCCATTGCCAATAATGAAGTTGAAGTGGACCTTCAGTAATTTCACCATTCTGTTGAACAATAGAACGATTAGGTAAAGTGATATAGTGACTAGTAGGAGATGAAGACATCATTCATCGAAAGATGCGATAAATGAAAAAAAACATATAATCCAAATAAAGAAACGTTTTGAAAGATTCGAATTTTTTTGTTTAAAAGTGATCTAAAAACAGAAAATTTCTATATCCAATTGAAATATACCTATGTGTGAAAGAATTTTTGTACAGTATTGTGGAAAAAATATGTTTTAGTACATGTCCAACAATGAATATATTTGTTCATGAAAAGTGTCCCAACAGAGCATTTCGCTTCTGTACTAACAAAATTTTCACTGATTTTCAGTTTTATCAATGGCTATATTTCTCTTCAAACTGCTAAAATCATCGTATAAGTCTTCGATTTATATATTTTATTTTTATAAATTCTTTTATAAGATTAATCGTTTCAGGATGTTCGATGGGAAATAAATGCTTTGCATCTATGATTTGTGTATTTCGTCCTTTTCTAAACTGTTTGATAAGATCAAATGCTTTAAGAAATGATTATTCTAAATGATCTGTTGTGATGGATACAGATGGTCGAACAATTTGAATTGAAATCTCTTTAATAAATTTTGGATCTTTAACTATTTCAAAGGTATCTGAATACTTTTATGATCCTATTCGATAAATTTATCCTTCTCTATCAGCTGTACATGTAAGTTTACAGTTCTAACCAAGTGCATATGTACAATAATCAAGAAGATTGTGATTAAAAGAATCGTCTTGGCGCTATCATAGGAGCTAATGTCAATACATATTCACTTAACGAGTGCTTAATACTAAAAAGATTATTTTTAGGAAGATTCAGTAATTCTATAAAATGAAAAATATCTTCACCAAATCATCGAATTTTATAAGAAGAAGGATGTCTTTGTGATCAGCCATGATCACGACGTTCAAGAATGATAACATGAAAATCAAATAATGCCTCAAAAATAATTCAATTATAACATCGACCATGGAGTGCACCACCATGACAAATAAGTATTGTTGGTTGATGACCTTTCCATTACCAATAATGAAGTTGAGGTAAACCTTCGGTAATTTCGCCATGTTCTTGAACTAGATTCCGTCGGTCCGAGTCCCAAAAATGTTAGATCGATGTACTGTAACATGAACAATTTAACATGCGTTGGTCGTCAAATACAAATAACAGAGGAATAATATTCTGCATCTTTAATATTACTTTCAAATTCAAATAAGAAAATTTTACCGAAGGTGTTATCAGTACCAGTTCGTGCCGCAAAAATTTCTGTAGATCAGGTTTGGATTCAAAGAACCCGATGATCTCTCTTTATGACTACCAGTTTTGACTCTGCCCTTTTTTTCTAATTGTATAATCTAAATTTCGTTTATATATTTAAACAAATGTTTCGAAAGTTGAATTTGCTTCAATAAAACTTACATTAACTACTAATGAAACCTAGAATAAACCAAAATACATTTTTTTCTATACTAATATCAAAATTTGTTTACTTTTCCACGATATTGTTCTAAGAAAGCATCATTTCCCTACCAATATTTTACTTTAAACGAATAAATATCTTGACGAATGAAAAGTGCTATTCCAATGAGAAAAATTTTAAAAAAACATCCAAAAAATAAATCAATTCAATGACTTCTTCTTTTATAAACTTCAATATGTTATTTTATCATTTCAACATGATTTGACTACGATGATAATCATTTTACCATTTAGTTATGAGATAAAAATATATATATAATATAAATATAAAATTCATTTGCTCACACATTTGCGTATCATTTCTACCAAATAAAGACAACGAGATGTCACTAATCATCAATTCAATGAAGATATTTTAATTCGTCTTGCCCGTATTACTACAATGAAACTATCCTAAAAAGTCCAAAAAACTAGAAGAAGTTGATAAATGTTGGTATACTCATCTTTATTGTTTTTGTATGTTTCACAAGATTAAGTAATTCTAGCATCGACATATATCCCATGATTTATACTGAACAAGGAATATGATTTATCACAGAATAGGAAAAACACAAGGCAAACAAAACTTTATTCTTTAAAGATTAATTTTGCTCTATTAAGGTGTGATTTGGGCAAGAGGAAAACAACTGATTTAAATCAGCTAAAACTCAAAATTAAATCACATAAATCACTCAAACTCATAAAGATCATCTTAACTCAGATAAATCATCTCAAATCACTTGAGGATTTTTCTTAGAAAATCCATTTTTTCGAAACAAAATCGAGATTGAGTTTTTATCATAGAAAGATGCGCCGAAGTCTCCTCTTTCAAAATATATATGAATTTTTCCGAAAGGACCAAATTGTAATAAACTTACCAAAGGAGTTTAGGGTCCTACTAGCATCTTTTTCGAGACATGTTTTCGAGATTTCCAAAAGTTTTTCAGTTTTTGACAAACTCTGCTTTTCTATTTTAATTAGCACTGAATAAAAAATGTTTATATTACCAATTAGGCACCAACTAACGCAGTGGCGAATTTAGACGGGGTGCAACGAAGCGATCGCTTCCCCTTCGAGAAAATTTTTTCAATTTTTTCTAGCAGCAACGAACGAAAAACAAGCTTGTACTACCTCAAACACATTTCAAAATATGTTTTTTGCATATGATCGCATCCGCCTTCCAAAATCTTAGATTCACCACTGAACTAACGCTCGAGATAAGGATCACATATTTATATTTTATTTTCAACACTGGATGTATAATTCAGATATATTCTACAGAAGTCTAGTGAATTTGAATGAACAATCAATTTCTAACGGGTGGGGCAGATTAAATGGCCGCATTTCACATTTCAATTTTCAATTTCTTAATACGTTGTGGGTGTTGGGTTCCTCCTAATACCCATACACTCACACCTAACTGCAACAATATCAAATTGAAAGTATCCAGAAAGAATAATTATTTAAATAGGCGAGATATCATCAGGCAAATATATTTGTACTTACAGGGTGTCCGTTGCCGTCTTAACTTATTTTGTACTTCAATTTGCGCAAATTCAAGTTTAAGATGAATTTAAATATTATGCTTGTTACAATGAAAATCAATAGGTGTGGATGTGGGTGTGTATGTGTCATTCTATTCTTCATTCACGCCCACACCCATCATCACACCCATACCCACCCACACCCTCAAGATGCATTTTTGAACTTTTGAAGCATAAAAAATAGAATGTTTTCTTAATTTTTTTATATGTAAAAAGTAAATTTTAACTTCTCAAAATGATTTGATTAGTAGAAGACATTTAAATCTACGCAATAAGCGTAAAAGATGAAAAACAAACAATTGAAAATTTTGGTTCGGGAAAGGTGAAGATCTTAAGAGAAGCTTCAATTGAACTAAATTGTATTTTTGAAAATTTTTTTCAACTTCCTATAAAGCATGAAGTGTTTATCCAAAAATAACCGTTTGATGCAGTATTATACGAACTATTTGTTAAGATGATGTGAGGTACGGGTCTGACTGTCTAACTGAAATTAGCTCCAAATCCATATCCTCCTCTGTAGCCTTATAGTTAAATGAAAAGATATTTGTTTCAACACCTGTTGAATTAATATGTGAAACACCATAAAATCGATCCTATCGTAAACGAACGTGAAAACATGAAATATTTTATTACTTTGAATTTGATCGTCTTAAAAATTTACTTTTTATGCAAATCTAGGAAAAGAAAATTTAATATAAAATAACTCATTTTTTTCTAGTGTTAAATTTGTTTTTGATACTAATTAACTCTTATATACAAAGCACATAAGAGAAATCCAATGTTTCATTTGTGAACAGGAATACTTACGAACTATTCTTTTCATGAACCTAGAAAAGTTCTTATAGTTGCAGTTTGAGATTTTTAGAAGATAAATTCATTAGAAGAATGCTTTTTTTCTAAACTTTATGACTTATGCTGATTTAAAGGATACAGCATCTGATTCTATTCTTGTAAGATTTAATTTGTCGACAATTTGTAAATCGTAAACAAAACAAGAAATTTAAGTTTCCTCATCAATAGAAAATAATAATTTTTTCCTGATATCTTCCTTTTATGTAGATACAAACTTTCATTTTTTTTTTTAATTTACATCCATTGAAACTCTATATGGGATATGACAGAGAGAGCATATTTATTGTTGTAAGTGAATTTCCCGTTAAATAATTTGATAGACTTTAATAAGGATCTGAATGTATTCGAAACTTAGAATGAAATGAACCCATATCCCAACATACTAACGTTGCTTGAACGATAGTATCAACTTCGTTTGGATAGAAATATAGAATGCTGATAACGAATGAATAGATTTTTAAATCCGATTGGTGCAATAAGAGAATAAATGTGAAGTTACGACATAGCAAAAATTTTATTGCTTACGTAGGTTGACATTTATGCTAAATTAAAAAAGTTAAAAAATAAAACATTATGAAAATCTTCTAGTAAACAAAATTGTTACTTTTCGCCTAATACATATTTTACACTTCAAACAATATCTGTTATTTCAAAACAAATAAAGTGGGATCACAACAAAAAAAAACACCGAAAGAAAAAATCTATTAGAGTTACACTATTAAAAAAAATTCGTTCCATTCATTTGCTATTGATATAAAATCATACTAGTTATTAAATTTCAATTTTTAATTTATTTATTCAAAAAATATTAAGATTATCTAGAATAAAAACATAAACAAGTATATCCAAAGTAACAAAAACTTTTACCATCATAAATGTAAATTATCATTAATATATTTAATAGAATAATTTTCGAGTAAGTTCTCTGATTTAATTAAAATTTTTGTTTATTTTAAACATACTTTTGGTGTTTTTCAAAATATATAAATAACATCAATTTTGTGTCTTATTATGAGTTTTTGATAATATAAATCGAATTATTTGCTCGATTTGTTTTCTGTTCATTTAAACTTTGAAATATTATAATCTTGGAAATAAATCAAAAAAAAACTAAATATTACTTAATGAATGTCTCCAATCAAGATTTCAATAATAACGAATTCAAAATTAATGTATGTACATTAGGTATA